AAGGGGTTGCTGTGGGAGCTAGGGATCATGGGGCTTGCTAGCAGCACTCCTTGGCAGTGACCTTCAGCAGTCGTGGCTCATGCCACTGTTCCCAGCACCTGCCAGCCTCAAGCCCCATGCTCCCTAGTGCCCACCCACAGAATTAGCCACCCTACCCGTAGCTCTCAACTGGCCTGCTTGCCTGGGAATCCTGCCTCTTCCTTGACAAAGAAGATAACAAAAATAAACTGGTGGTGATGGGGTGGCAATCGTGAATGCAGACAGGCCCACATTTTTATCACATGACTGCAGGCAATGCAATGGTTTGAACATCGGTCATAGATCCTTTTTTGTCAGTGCCATCATAACTTTGAAGTTCCTGAATTAATGAGTATAACTTGAGGACTATCTGTAGACTCTCTTCCTGATTCAGCAGGAAAGGACTCTTTCTTCTGTTTTTGAAGAAAAGAAAAAGCATTCTTTCTCCTGTAACCTCATTACATTACCAGTTATATTCCAGCAGACCTAGGGTGGGATCCCTGTCGGGGGGAAAAAATGTCCGTAAATTTAGAAATTACATACAGAAGATTCAGTAAAAATCTGCTTTTTAAACACTCTTAAAAGCCATTGCTTTTGTGAAAAAAATTAATTTATCATGAATAATGTCTTTTTATAAGAATATAGAAATATTGTGGCCAATGCTAGTTCTGTGGGGAAATAGGGTGATTCATCTTTTTCTGCTTGATTCATCTGACAAAGAAATATATTTTTGTGCTTCAAGAAACATCTAGAGTTCTTATGTTACCATTTTAAAATGTAAGACTCAGCCGCCCTGAGTCTTCGGAGAGGGGCGGCATATAAATTGAATTAATTAAATTAAATTAATTAAATTAAATTCTGCCCCATAATGAAGAGTGCCTTGACCCATAAGACAGAAAAATCCTGTAAGGCTGTAACTGGTCTAACTTTCTTTTTATTTTTCCCCAAGAATGTCTGTACTGCTTTGCTAATTACAGCCTTCACATCCCTTTCCTGGAAGGATACTTTGTCCTGTCAAAGAACTACCACCCAACTCTGCTGGCCATTGCTCAAACAGGTACCTCGATACTGAGTTTAGAAGGATACAAAGTGGTGAATGTGATAAAAGGGTATTGCATTAAATAAGATAGGGGTAAATATCATAATTTTGGAAAACAGCCCCTTTTCCCCATCTTGCTTCATTGCAATCTCTCTGCCATAGGTGCTCACAAAGAATATGATGATCCCTGAAGCAGTGACCTGGTTTTTCACAAGCGTACTGAAAGGATTACAGGTTCACGGACAACATGATGGCTGTATGGCAGCACTTGTCCACTTGGCTTTCCAGATCTATGAAGCTTTGGTAAGGAATGGAGGAGAAAATCTATTTCCATATCTGCTGCTATTTTTGCAGTTTAGTGCCACTCCAAATCCAAGGCTCATTTTGGTGGGATGCAAAGTTCTGAACATATCAGTGGTTAATTCCCTCTTTGGAAATAGCCATTTCTCTTCTGGCAAAGGTCCCTCCTGATTCTTCTTTGTTATTTAAAGCGTCCACGCTATGCTGAGTTGAAAACAGTGATGGAACAAGTCCCAGAAATCCAGAAAGATTCCCTGGAGCAGTTTGATTCCAAACTACTCAACGTAACGCTTCAGAAGGTGGCAGACAAAAGGCGGAAGGACCATTTCAAACGCCTAATTGCCGGCTGCATAGGGGTAAGACACGATGTCAAGCAACAGAGATATCTAATTTCTCAGAAGGATAAGCATGTTTTTCTTCCCCTCTGTGGGACTTTAATCAATGTCAGAGCTTACCTGTTCAGCCCATTAGTTGTGACTCATGTTACACAAATCCTAAACTGTGATGGTAGAAACACTGGGTACTTGTGGAGCTCTAACCATATAGCCTTTATTATTCTATGATTCAAGATATTCTCCAGAACTTATCTTTCCCAGGCCATCCATGGCTCATTACCTACTCCCTACTTAACTGCTACAGAATATATAGCACTTGATACTTTGTTTCTGGCTTTGACTGACTTGAAGTTGATTCCAGTTAAACTCAGCCCATGTTGAACAACCCAGGATACAGGAACAAGTCTCCACAGAGGGTCATAACACCATGGAGTGAGGGGGGAGGAAATTCTACAATTTTAGCGTAGGCAATTCTTGTTGGAATATTTCTATGCATTGTTTGCCTATTCATTTTTGTTTCCTTACAGAAGCCCCTAGGAGAACAATTCAGGAAAGAAGTCCACATCAGAAACCTTCCATCTCTTTTCAAGAAGGTGAAAGCACCCCTAGGAACAGACGTTTTTGAGAACAATGAAGAGGAAATCCTCATTGCCCTCTTTGAGCCATAAGCTGAAGACAATTCCACTTTTTCCTCCTTTATACTCTGTGTTGTTTCACAGTAGCCATATTTCCTTTGTTTATTCCTTTCCTGAGCCCTGATACAATTCTCACTGGCCTTTTTTTGGGAGGGGGGCGGGGGGGGATTTTCTAGCTCCACTTAAAGCTGTTGGATGATGGTTGCTCAGGCATTCCAGTCCAACTGTCATTTGGCCAGTTCTTTATGAACAACCCTTCATACATGCATACAGTACTTGACCGGGGAAGGGAGAAGGTTCTGCAGCCTCTCATTCTCTCTGCTACTTCTCCTTCAGGACACCTGTATTGTTGCTGCCTCAACATGACACTAATAGGAGACTCCTGCTTCCCTGTTGGAAAAAGACACCTTGGATGAATAAATGCAGATGTGCATATTGGGCGATGATGAATCACTAAGTTACGCTAACTCAAAAGTTGTATTACTTTGATTACTTTTGAGAAGTAGCACTTGGCCATATGTTCCACCAAACCAAGCACCATTGAGAAACTGGGAGTGAAAACATTTTTTTTAATTCAACCAAGCCTCAGGAAGCCTCAGATTAAACATCCTCTTCTTTGCCCTAGAAACATTGTTGAAATAGGTATTCTAGCTGCAATCAGTCCTCAGCTGTCAAAAGTAAGAATTTTCTAAACACAAGGAATTCAGAACTATTTTATACTAACTATAACTTCTGTTGAAACGCTCCCCCTGAATGTAAAATGCAGTACAGTTCTGGATAATTTTGTTCAGTGTCTGATGGTACAGAATGCCTCCAGGCCAGGTCTTAAGTGTTTGTTTATCCGAGAGAGCGATAGAATGTGGGCATAAATTTGCCAGATTTTAATTTTCAGTCTGAAGAATTAGTATCAAATAGAAGGACTTTCCTTAGTGGCTGCTGTAATAGCTTGACTACAGATATAACAGAATGGTGTTTTTCAATTAAGCGGCTTAGTAGTGTATACACATCTGGTTACATGAAAGAAAACAGGTCTTAATATTGATATTTGGATACTCACTAGTAGCCAGACTTCACTCTGACTTGTTTATAATCCTGATCTCAGTGTAACATTAATTTAAACCAAATTCCCCTGTTAAATAGCTTTGGAATCTAGCCTAACTGTATTTATTGTGTCTTAATTACATTTTAATTTACTGTGCCCGTAATAGCATTTAAAACAACTGAGGGTGTGTTTTTTTTGTAGAGATGATGTATCTGAAGATGTCTCCAAATCAATGTCAGTAAAAATCTCTTCATTTTATACAAACATTGCTCTTCCTTTGCATTAACTCTTCACACCTTTTTTGAACATCACCACCATGGCTGCTCTCTGGGTCAAACACTGCAATTATGAGAATTACATACTTAATACAAAACATGCTGCCCTGACTGAAGCACTCCTGCTCAACACATTAAATCAGCTGCATCCTTTGGAAGGCCCGGTCAACTACTTCAAAAGATGTACCTGATTGTGCATGCACAAGTATTTTCAGAGAAACCTTTAGTAAACTTTACACATACAGTAAATAAGCATAGGGTGCAAAGCCTGCAGATGCTTTAATGCATCAAGCTTTTGTGTGAATGTTTTGTCTTGCTTTATTAATGTATTTATCAAATACATTATTTTACGTTTGGGGTAAAAATTAGACATTCTTACCAAAGTTGGGCAACTCCAGTTTTTTGAGGCTAATATGATTGTTCCATAAATTAAAAATAACATTTTTGATGACAAAGTAGCGCAAGGAGCTACAACAATTTTTGTCCTGTGCCTTCTACTCTTCATAATGTTATATGTTACCAAAGGTTATATACTTGGCTCATATACTTCAAAGACATATATACAACAATATTCCTGTTAAGAGATGGTTTCTTGCAGCTTTTTTTTTTTAATTTGATTTATATGCCGCCCTTCTCCGGAGACTCAGGGTGGCTTACAATGCGTTAAGCAATAGCCTTCATACTTTTGTATATTTATACAAAGTCAGCTTATTGCCCCCACAAACTGGGTCCTCATTTAACCTACCTTAGAAAGGATGGAAGGCTGAGTCAACCTTCAAAATTAAGTCAAGCTTAATTTTTCTACTGGGCCTGGTGGCTCAGCAGACTGATAGCATTGTGATTAACACCAGCTGTCTGCAATTACTGTAAGTTCGAATCTCACCAGGCTCAAGGTTGACTCAGCCTTCCATCCTTTCTAAGGTAGGTAAATTGAGGACCCAGTTTGTGGGGGCAATAAGCTGACTTTGTATAAATATACAAAAGTATGAAGGCTATTGCTTAATGCATTGTAAGCCGCCCTGAGTCTCCGGAGAAGGGCGGCATATAAATCAATTTTTTTAAAAAAAAAATCTACTTCAACTATTTTATCAATAGGCATTTTCTCTCCTGTTTCAATTAGAAATTCTCTAACAATAATGGATTAAACTGGAACGAGATTCGGGTTTTGCCAGATAATAGTTAAAATGTACTTCCTTAACATTGAAAACAATTGGAATCTCATACTTAAGGTGGGAGGAATATTCAAGGAAGTTTTTCCCTACTTTGAAGAGGCATTTTTTCCCAGTAACTAAAAAGTAATCTTTTAAAGTGAATGTAGTGAGAAAATGTTAGGAATAAATATTTTAGACCAGCATATAATACCAATATTATACAAAAGTGTATTAAATAATGACAGTTAACAGGATTTAAATTTTTGAAAGAATCAAGTATTTTCATGGATATTGAAGCAGAAAACTACAGCTCAGGCACAGATCAACTGACTTGGGGATTTTTTTTGCTGACTATAGGAACTATGGACATCAAGTAGATAGGTGCTAAATTGTGAAACTCTCATAGCATATAGTACCAGATCAGCAAACAGGTACTATATAATAAGTGATCCACTACACAGGTAAGATTTCTATCCCACTGTTGTAATGGAAACTAAGACTAACACCGGAAATCGTATAGTTCATTCTACGAATCTCTGTGTACACGTGATTGCAAAGCCTTATCAAAGAATGGCATCCAACATTGCCAGACTACAAATAGTACACAGGGCACTTTGTTATCCTGAATTTCAGTCGTGTCCATGTTGTGTAAATAGCAATAGCAATGGTTCAGCAACCATTGTTTTTTGACATCTCAGAAAGGTCATTGTCTTACAGACTGATGCAATCTTGTTCCTCTTCAAATCGAAGGATTTTGATAGTGGTATGTCCCCACAAGAGTCTTTTGTGTTCCCAAATTTATTTCTTCTGGATGGATTTTAGCTCCTCTACGAAGCGTTGGCATTTTCCCATTAGTACTTTGATTGCTTCACTCACCAGCACATCTGGAGGCAAGATGCCTGTGGATTCTACAGAGACTGAAAGGGGAAAAAGGGGACTCAGTTTGAACTATCATAAAGCATAAACACAAGATACCATATTAAACAGTTAAGTAGCAGATAACTTACTGTTGAACAGTAGGATTCATTACTAGGCACCAAAATACAGCTGTGTTTAAAAGTCTGAACCCTTTGAATTTGCAATATTTCTCCATAAATATGACCTAAAATATGATCTGTTCTCCATACATGTCCTAAAACTAGATAAGGAGAACCATATTAAATGGGTCAAAAACCCAAATTGTCTATTTCAGAGCCATATTTTCACTTCTTTCTTGAAACTCAATGAGGAACAATTCTTTTTTGTAAAGACAAGGTGTACTACAGGGGCAACACCATTCCTGAGAAGAGCCTTTTTCTGTACATTAGTGTTTCTCAATCTGGACAAGTGTAAAATTTGTGTTTTTCCAACTCCCAGAAATTTCCAGCCACAGAAGTTACTTTGGTGATAGGACCCCAAGAAAGGCTTATTTCCCATATCTTATAGGACAACTTCACTTTGGAGCAAGCAGCCTTGGAGAGAAGTATATAAATCAGATTTTTAATAAACTATGACAACTCTGGTTTGTTCAGTACATCACAATTCACTGATACATGAATACAAGTTATGACCTTCAACAGAGCCAAGAGAATAATCTACTTTTTGTGCTTTTCAAATGTATCATGTTCCCAAAACAAACATTAAGACTTCACTTGCATAAATGTTTTCAGATTTCTACGCACTGAATGAAGGTCTGGCTCAAAATGATCTAAAGACAAAATTATATAATTCCGTTAAAATGACTGAGATTATTTGGTTCTATACCATTTTGATGCAAAAACTAAGACTATAAAATAAAATACAGAACTGTGGAATAAAAAGCAAGGAAATTACACAAGGTGCTTTGTCATTTGACATTTCCGAGCTAGTGGTTAGCTACTACGCAACAGTATTAGACAAACCATAAGTGCAAGCATCCTCCAGCGCAGTCCTATCAAAAGGCTGGCTTTCAGTGGTACAATTTTTTTAAAAAATCTAAAAATAAGGCTGAGCCACACCCACAACTCTTATTTCCATTATTTCAGCCTCCAAAACAGTCCTAAATCATACCCATCAAATTTGATAAGTGAAGAGTTAAAAAAAAATACTGGAAATAAGACCCCTTTGATTTTCAGAGGCCTAGGACTCCAATCCTTCACCCCTCAAAAAAAAAAACAAAAAAAACTGGTGAAACATTCACCCCATTCTGATGTCAAAAACCACCTGCTAGTTATTGCCTCCAGGAAAAGGAATATCGCTCCTAATCCAAGGAAAATTGTGTATCTATTTTACAATCCATAAAGATCAATAACAAAAGAACACGTAGATTACTCACAGATGTAATGATCTCGTACCCGACCCAAACGTACAAGGTTTTTTAAGTCGTCATGACGAAAAATTTCTCTATTGAATGTGTCCAATCGAGCATTAGCTACTCTTGCTACTTTCTTTCCTAGGGAAAAAAAAAGAACCAATACCTACATTTCAAAAAATATTAATATATCTTCAATGAACCTTTTCTACATATGTTGGATTATGTTTGTTCATCTCTGCTTCAACCCAACTACAAAACAGATTCCAAATAACATCTTGCCCATCTACATTCCTGGTTAAACCTGGACAAACCCCCCCACCCCTCAACCTGGCAGTCTGATTCTATGTAGACTTTTCCAAATACCCCTCAGTGAATTTAATTGAGTTTTTCTCTTAAGGCAGGGGTCCTCAAACTTTTTAAACTGGGCCAATTCATGGTCCCTCAGACTGTTGGGTGGGCGGACCGGCTGGGTGGGTGTGGCTAGGTGCTCATTTGACTGGGTGAGCATGGCCAATTTAGCAGTCCAAACAATACACACAAATTAAACTTTAATTTGTTATGCTCCTGGGGGTGGAAAGCAGGTTAATGAAGCTGCCTTGAGGTGTGTATGAGGGACTTCTGTTTGTGTGGGTATGCATGTGTGTCTCCCTCTCTCTCTCCCCCTTTCTGGAGGCCAGGGAGGCCAATGACGTTTTTGGCCCCCTGAGGCCTCTGCACGTCCCATTTTTGGCCTCCGGTAGCATTCTGCTGCCCAAAAACGGTCCTGTTTTTGGCCTCCACGCATCCTGTTTTTGGCCTCCCAGGCCTCCAGAAGGCAGGTGGGGGCTTGTGGGTAGGCGGGGCAATGTGGGTGGGGCAGCCTGGTGGTCCCATACAGGCTGGATTAATGGATTCGGAGGGCCATATCTGGCCTGCAGGCCGTAGTTCGAGTATCCCTGTCTTAAGATTTGTAATCAGTCTTCACTTTTGAGAACCCAACATCAAGCATTCACTCGATTTTTTGATAGTCGAAAATAGCCTTAGTCTCTGCATAGCAAATAGAAAAAAAAAGTAGAGGAAGGCATTCAACCAAAGATCCATTTTTGTTGTGGCTATGTTGCCATTTTTTGTAATACCCATTGAGCCAATTGGAAGATCAAAAATTAGACCATAAAAGAAGGCAAACATGCACTTCATCAAACAGAAGATATAAAGTTCTGTCATTGTGTGTGGGGGTGGGGAAATTGGTCAATTAAACATGAAACATTTGAAATTACCTCTGATTTCCTCTATCTCAATAACTCCAGCAGAAAAACACTTTTTCAGCCGCTCAGCTGCTTCCCCTTCAACAGGTTGCAATAAAGTGATTTCTGGCAACAAACGGTAACTGGCTGTGGCAACTGGAGAAAATTTGGCATGATCTTTGCCTAAAGAAAAAGAGTGACTTTTAAAAAGCAAATGAATGCAATCAGGCATCAGTGGGATGAAATGGAGGCAGAGAGAGAAAGCTGGCAGCAAACAGGATTTGTTTTGCACATATGTCCAACCCTCTAAATAAAAATCAGTTGCATTCTTCTAAATAGGCCATTAATCTTTCATAACATTTGTCAGTAATGCTGATATACCAAAAAAGCTGAGCATAGACAGAGAATGCAGATGGCAGGGATTCTCAAACTATGGTCTGGAGATTGCCAGCATTCCACATATTCCATAAGAGTCTTCCCACTAATTCATTGCCAATTAGCTTATCAGTACCCTATTCACCTCAGCCCTTGCCTCCGACCTACTACTACTACCAACTTTTACAACTTGCTGCTTCACAAAAATGAATTGTCAACTAAAACAGATTCATTGAAGCACACAAGCGGTAATACAATAATAGAAATAGCAAGAGGGATGCTATATTTCACATTATTGACTTTATCTAACCCAAAACTCAAACACACGCTTTACAATACAAAGACAAGAATTACAAAGTACCATGGACCAGTTATGCTATCCGATAAACAAAAAAAACACCGACTTATTAAATAAGAGTAATTCAAGTTGTGAATCAACTACGCCTTACCCTCTCTAAAAGGGACCCCATCACTGAGATCTAGATCTATTGATAAAATATCAGTCACATGTACAAAATGAGTATTCCCCTCTCCCATCCCCCCAAAAAATGAAATTGCCAAATTTATATCAGAACTTTAGCTGTCTCACCAATGCCCTTTACACAGTGCATAAGTACATCAATCTCTTGGCCAGGACGCAACTGAGCAATGAGGATATCATCGTGGACAGGTCGGAAATTTGCATTCATGTTGTCAGCCTGAGATCCTAGTGGTACCCACTCCATGTGTTTGCTGTAAACTATAAGAAGACTATTTTTAAAAAGAGTCGAGCTTACAACTACACAGACAAACTATGGCATTATTCAATTATTTGCAAGGCCTTATGTCCTGCTCCAATCCAGCAGGGCATCTTCTTAATCAAAAGGGAATAGCTAGCAATTATATTCAAAGTGAAGATAGGGGAAGGCACACACACACACACACAAACACACACACAATCAATTTTCCAAGCCCTGAGTTTTTTATTCCAATTTAAAGAAGGAAAAAGATTTGGTAGACTGAGAAGTCTTGAATATGAGATTATGTCAAAAGAATATTTGCATTAGAAACAGAACAGTAGTCACTGATGACTTGAAAGCAAAAATTTTACCTTTATGGTTGATATAAAGTTCATTAGGATCAGATGATTCTCTAGCCGCCTGAAGATTCTTGCTGCATTTTATTTTCAACCGAAACTGCAGTGTGTTAATTTCATCACATTCATCTTCTAAAAAAAGCAAGGAAGAACAAAGTAAAGCAACATGCACACGCATTGTTTTAAATTCTACTCAGTAATAGCCAGCTTCAGCCCCTGACAAGCACCTTCAACATTATCTTACCTTCACTCTTATACTCAAAGAGACGAGGATCCGCACAAATAGGAATCAGTCCCAAACGGTGAGCTAGGATTTCATCCTGTACAATGGAGGTGTTATTGTATACAAAGACTTTCTCCACAGCCATGGTTGGCACCTAGGCAACAATTAAACAAAGCACTGGTTCTCAGTATCTTATGAATTTCTGAATTCTAGTGGTCTAACATACTGATCTAAACATCAAGCTTTAAGATGGAAATTTTTTAAAAAGGTTTTGTAGACTCCCCAATGTTCTTGTATTACTTAATTCACTACCCTGTAGTTACAGCTTTATTTCTGAAAAGTTTTTTCAAGCTCTAATAAGAGGAACAGGCAATAAATTTTTAACAATAAATGAGATCCCAGAGGTACCCACTCCACATGTTTATATCTACTATGCACATGTAATATAATACTGCCACTTTGGCCTAATGGTTAAGGTACCAGATGAGTTCTAGTCCTGCATTAGGCATAAAGCCAGCTGGATGACTTTGGGCCAGTCACTCTCTCTCAGCCCAACTCACGCCACATGGTTGTTATTGTGGGGAAAATAGGAGGAAGGAGGTGTATTAAGTATGCTCGTCACCTTGAGTTATTTAAATAAATAATAAAGGTGAGAGATAGATGAGAGAGAGATGATAGATAGCAGTGAGCTTGCCATTTTGGACAATAGCTTTCTAAATTTCAATTATCTTACATATAATAATACTTGCTCTGTTTCTATAACAAAGAAGTATTTTAAACTTCTACAATGTTTATTGTCTAATAAAACTGTCTCATTTAAAAAACTGTTCTGAAGACTTCGTATTACAATTTGTCTTTCACAACAGTGTCTTTGACAAACTTTTTCAATGCAAATGTTGTGGTATTTTTAAGGATATGCCTATGCATTAAAATACCAATATGACTATGCTAGGATTATTTTATTTCTGTGGAAAAGAAATTAATACCTCAGCAAGCAAGATCCGTCGGAAAGCATTAGCAATGGCTGCATCAATCCCGACCATGTCAAATTCCAAAGTACTTTCATCCATATGGATCATATCTATTCTGAAATTCTGTGGAAACAAAGTTTGAAAACAGGCATCTATAGGCATCCTCTTTTTGTTAAAAACCTTGGTTGAGGAAGAAGTCTTAACATACAATTAAATGTTTATGTCATTATCAATGCTGAATATTCCATTATTTTACAATATTCTATAAGTACTCATTTATTCAATTCACATTCTTCCTAGTTTTTCCAGTCAGATGAGCACAGAAAATGGCTTGTGCACATCTTTCATAAACAGCAAGAAATTGAACTAAGTTTCCACCATACAAGCAATATCTACATTTGAAAATATACTACAGCTTAAGCCAAACTACACACAAGCTAATAAAATTCAAAAATAGTATTTTGCACTGATTTGTTGTTATCAAGTAAAGTTAGAAACACCACTGTTCCAAGGAAATAGGCAACTTTTGACTTTAAACTGCTTAACAGAAAGAATCACTTCTTTCTCACCTTTTCAAATCTTTGCTTATCCCAAGCATCATTGTATCCTGAATAATTCCCAGGAAAATCTGTTGTGTGGACCTGGAGAGGAAAGAAACGCTTGGTTATTCTTTGATAGAAAATGCAGATTATGCCAGGTTCAATCTCTGAATAGAGCTGAAATCCTGAACAGCTGCCAACCTGTGTTCTCTATATGGGTATGCGTTCAATAAACTACAGGTAGTCCTTGACATATGACCACAATTGAGCCCAAAATTTGTTGTTAAAAGTTGTTAATTTTGTTCTATTTTATGACATTTCTTGCCACAGTTTGTTAAGTGTAATCACTGTAAGTTAGTAACATGGTTGTTAAATGAATCTGGCTTCTCCATTGAGTTGGCTTGTCAGACGGTCACAATAGGTGATCGTATGACCTGGGGAACTGCAACCGTCATAAATACGAGTCAGTTGCCAAGCATCCAAATTTTGATCATGTGACCATGGGGATGCTGCAATGTGAACAGTTCTAAATATGAAAAATGATCACAGGTCACTTTTTACAACGCTCTTGTAACTTCAAATGGTCACTAAACAAACTGTTGTATTCGAGGATTACCTGCAACGACTTCATTCAGTAGTTTCCAAATTCAAAACCGAGATGATTAGTAAAAAAAAAAAAATCGCTTTACAGAATTATCTGGACAACTGGTGGAGTTCATACATACATCTGTGGATATTCAAGCAGCAACCTGCTTTTCGGTGGGGAAACTGCCAAATCGCAGTTAAATATCCCAGGCAAAATTCGCAAATCCCTTCCTCTGTATCAGGACAGTGTTCGAAGTAGCGCTTCATTCATTCATTCAGCTGCATTAGATTTATATTGTTTCATATAAGTCAGGCTTCTGTCCAGGAAACAGCCACTCAAATCATTGCCAAGACCCGCTTCGTGGCCAGACAAGACTCTCCCTCCACCCGTCCCGCTGCTTTCTTTCGCTTACATTGCGAACACCGAATTCGCCCAGAACCACGCGGGTCCGCATCTCTTCCACGGTCCCCGGCGCTGCCATCCTTCACGCAAACGCGTTGTAAAGTACAGCCAAGCCCGGTGCGCAAGCGCAAAGTTTTACCATCGAGCAGGAAAGCACGTCCCTTCTGTCACGTGACATTGGAATTCCGGTTGAGCGGCTCTTCCCACCGAACGGAAGTGGGTGGCGGTGTGCCGCCATGTTGTGTGTGGCGCTTTCCAAAAAAAAAAAATGAGCGTTTTTTTTTTAAATGTGCGGCGGCGTGCTTTTGAGTCACGTATCAAGAGGACGTTGTGAGCGCATATTAAGGAGACGTCTTGGTGATTTTTCCCGCTTTTCTGCTTGTCCCGTCGTTATGGCGTGAAGCTCGTTTCGTCTGGAGCGCCTGGAACAACCAAGATGGCACCGTAGTCAGACCGGCTCCTGAGAAATCTCGCGAGAACACCTGAGTCTCCACGTCCTCCCCCCCCCCCCCCCCGTGGCTCCTTAACCCCCCGACCGCGGATTGCTTTGGCTTTGCTCCATCCGGGCTTTTTCCGCCTGGCTTCGGTCGGATCTCCGGCCCCCCCGGCTCTTCCGTTAGCGAGAGCGCGGCCGGGGGCGTCGGTGCCTCCGCAGCCGCTGCTGGGGAAATGTCCGGCCCTGGGGCAGCCGCGGGCGCCGGGGGAGCGAGGAGCGGGGCTGCGACGGCGACTGCCGAGTGGGGAGCCTTCGAAGACAACATGCAGGTCAGGGGAATGGGGGTCGGGTAAGGGCTTTCCCGTTTCTTGGGCTCCACCCCCTCAATTCGAATTGGGTTCCCTTCCCCGCAGCCGCCGTCGCCCCGTTCCTGGGCTCGCTTTGGGAACACCTACACAGGTAGTCCTCGACGTACGACCACAGTTGAGCCCAGAATTTACGATGCTAAGTGAAACATTTCTTACCTGCCTTTTGCCCCGTTTTACGACCTTTATTGCCCCAGTTGCTGAGTGAATCGCCGCAGTTGCTAAGTTATGCGACACGGTTGTTAAGTGAATCTGGCTTCCCCATCATTGATTTTGCTTGTGGGGTAATCCGCAAAATGGGATCACGTGACCCCCCTCCCCAGGACGCTGCAACCGTCGTAAATGCGAGTCAGTTGCCAAGCGCCCGAATTTTGATCATGGGGGAATGCTGAGAAGATGGTAACTGTGAAAAATTGGTCTTAAGTTATTTTTTTTCACCGCTGTAACTTTGAACTGTCACTAAATGAACTGTTGTAAGTCGAGGACTACCTGTATTATATGGTACACCGCCCAGAGCCCTTTTCCAAGGGAGATGGGCGGTTAAGAAATATAAAATAAAAATAAATTAAAAACACCAACAAGGCTGGGAATGTTCCTGTGTTCTCTGCGGGACGGAGGAGAAGCAGTTGACACTCTTGGCGTGTCCCTTAGAACTCAGGCAGTCCATAAAGAGAGTCCTTGTGTGTTGTGCGAACGAGCAAAAAAACGTGAATGGTGTCACAGCAAAATAAATACAAGGGAAAGGTCCCAAAGCCAGATTGTGCGACAAAGAAGTTGGATTCCAGACACAGATATCCGATCTGCTGCTTAGCTTTTTTTTTTTTTTTTTGCAAGCGCCTTGCGTAAGCTTAGTTCCTCGTTTCCAGGTAGACTTGGATAGCTATGCAGCTGAAAAGATATTCACAACATTAAGTTTACACTTGTGCTTGGATTGGTTATGGAACTAATAAAAGACAGCTATCTGCATTCCATTGTTGTTCTTTGCAGACCATTTGTTTGCTAAGCTTACTGAACATTTGGCATTTTCACAGGGAAGAGCCCACCCTGCTTGTTGTCGGCCTTTCTGCCAATCCAGCCAAGCTCTGAAAACAATTCGTCCATTTCTGTTGCCTTTGCTCACAGTTGCACAAGATTCAAAAATTTATCCATACTGTTGAATGCATTAGAGCAGTGTTTCTTAAAGTGTGACTCCAAGACCCTCTGAGGGATCTGCAAAATCAAAATTATTTGCCAGATCTTGAAGATATTTGCAAATAATTAAAAAAAAGATCACTCTTGTTTTAATTTTTTGTTTGTTAAATATTTTTGTTTGTTCAAAAAGTTTTTTTCATGAAATATTCTTATTTGTACATGATTCAATACCCAACTGTTGTATAAATGGATCAGCTTTAATTTTTAATAGGTAAATATTGATAAATATAACCCATACTGACAAACGTTCTTTTGGGGTCCTCCATAATTTTGAAAAATGAGAAGAGGGCAACACACGGGGTTTGGACAAAAAAAAAAAAGTTTACAAGGCTAAAAAAGTATGAAGTGGTAAAACAGTAAATGGCATTGATGTAAACTAAATTTTAGTTGTTTTTTTCTTACGTTGTCCCTTAAATCTTTAATTATTTCTTTCTCTAATTATTTCTGGATTTTGCATAAATTGCTTATTTATAGTATTCAGTTGCTCCCTATCATATGCCCTGTTATAGAAAGCATTTAATATTCAGTGGGTAACTATCACTAGATGTTTATTTAGCAGATTGTCCATCAGACTATATAAAGCAGCAGCTTTCCCCAAAGCAATAAATATTAATGTTTATTTTGTGTTCCATTTTAATTTAGTAGTAAAGTATCCTGCCCAGCATTCTTTGCTAACAGTGTAGTAACCTGCCTCAGTGTTGTGATACAGACATGGAGAGTAGAAGAGAAGAGCAGTATCTTTAAGACAGGGCAGTTCATGATACAATACAATACAAATGGTCTTTGCTTTATAAACATTCATTCAACAATCACTCAAAGTTATGACAGCACTGAAAGCATGGTAGTTAGAACTGGTCCTTAAAGTTGCAGTCATTGTAGCACCCCTGCAGTCATGTGATCAAAATTTGGGCACTTTTTTAAAATATTTTTTTTATCCAGACATCATGTTATTTTTTATAAATAATTCATGGTAGTGAACATACCTGATACTCTTTCCTCCTCCTGTTTTCCCTACAACAACAAACTTAATGGGTGAGTTGGGCTGAGAGAGAGTGACTGGCCCAAAGTCTCCCAGCCAGCTTTAAAGCCTAAGGCAAAACATAACTGGAAACTCTTGGTTTCTAATATTGTGCTTTAACCACTAGATCCGTGATGGCGAACCTATGGAATGTGTGCCAGAGGTGGCACAGAGAACCCTCTCTGCTAGCATTGTCGCTGTCGCCCCAGGTCAGATCTCCGTGGCTTTTCTTTCGTGAGCTTCTGTTTCTTCTGTTTCATCGTTTGCAGGGAAACAGAAGCTCACGAAAGAAAAAGATCTTATCTCTTGCTGCGCTGCTGGTGTTGGGAAGCCCCGCTTCCCACCTGCCAGCTGATCTTCAGGTCTCTGCTGCGCATGTCCGCACATGTCCATGCATGACCTTGCATACATATGTGCATGTCCACACATTCACGTGCATGCACTCACCTTTCAGTTTGGGGACATGTGCATGCAGTTTGGGCACTCGGTGCCTAAAATGTTCGCTATCACTGCACTAGATCAAACTGTATGCGCATAGTATACTGCCATTGTACTGTACTATCAAAAGAAAAGCAGTACATGTGTTTAAAAGGGAAGATATGAATACGTTTCTGAGTAGAACAGTAGTATAGAATAGAATAACAGAGTTGGAAGAGACCTTGGAGGTCTTCTAGTCCATCCCCCTGCTTAGGCAGGAAACCCTATACCATTTCAGACAAATGGTTATCTAATCTCTTCTTTAAAACTTCCAGTGTTGGAGCATTTACAACAACTGGAAGCAAGTTGATCCACTGATTACTTGTTTTAACTGTCAGGAAATTTATCCTTAGTTTTAAGTTGCTTGTCTCCTTGATTAGTTTCCAGCCATTGCTTCTTGTTCTTACCTCAGGTGCTTTGGAGAATAGTTTGACTCCCTCTTCTTTGTGGCAACCCCTGAGATATCGGAACACTGCTATCATGTCACCCCTAGCCCTTCTTTTCATAAGACTAGACAAATCAAGTTCCAGCAACCGTTATATGTTTTATTCCTGAGACCCCTAATCATCTTTGTTGCTCTTCTCTGCACTCTTTCTAGAGTGTCAACATCTTTTTTACATCATGGTGACCAAAATTGGATGCAGTATTCCAAGTAGTAGCATTTGTCATTTTACTGTTTATTTATTTTATTTATTTATTAATTAAATTTATATATCACCCTACTCCTGAAGGACTCAGGGCGGTGAACAGCCAAAAGATAAAATACACATAATACAAACGTTAAAAAACCATTTAAAATATATAAATACTTTGGCCCAAAACAAATTTAAAACACCCCAATTTATAAGACAAACTTAAAAATAGCAATTAAAAGGGAAGCTAGGCCAGACCAGCCTGCTGGAATAAAACTGTTTTGAGGGCACGGCGGAAAGTGCGCAAATCCGGGATCCTCGGTATCTCCGGGGGGGAGCTCGTTCCAGATGGCAGGTGCCCCCACAGAGAAGGCTCTCCCCCTGGGGGCCGCCAGTCGGCACTGTTTGACCAACGGCACCCTGAGGAGTCCCTCTATGGGAGCGTACTGGTCGGTGAGAGGCTACTGGTGGCAGAAGGTGGTCTCGTAGGTACCCCGGTCCTAAGCCATGGAGCACTCTAAAGGTGGTAACCAAAAACGCTTCAAAACCTTGAAGCGCACCCGGAAGACCACCGGGAGCCAGTGCAGCTTGCACAGGAGGGGAGTGACATGGGAGCGCCACGTTGCTCCCATAACCACCCACGCGGCTGCATTCTGGACCACCTGGAGCCTCCGGGTGCTCCTCAAGGGGAGCCCCATGTAGAGAGCACTGTTGATTTTACAAATGGAGCAATTTACCCCCAAACCAATTTAGCAGGTTTTCTTTCAGCTTAAGGTAAATACTATGTCTGAAGATATATGTTCAACATAAAGTTTTGGGCTAAGGAAACTGCAGCAAAAAGTTAACATGTTCTGTATCTCCTTAATGGCCTTTGGTAATTGTCTGGATTTTTGCAGTCCAGATATGATCATTCTATCAACTACCTCTTTTGTTTTTGTTTTTTTCTTTTCAGTAATAGCTCTATTTTTCTATCATGTAATTTTACATTTTGTTCTCTGGACATATTTCCAGA